GCTGGAAGGGGCTGCCCAGGGAAGGGGTCGAGTCCCCAGCCCTGGGGGGATTTAACAGCCGGGCAGAGGCGGTGCTGAGGGCCAGGGTTTGGGGGTGGGCTGGCAGGGGTAGGAGAACGGCTGGGCTGGGGGAGCTTCAAGGGCTTTGCCAACCCAAACGATCCCATGGTTCTGTGACTCTATGAGAGGAGCGTTGCAGCTGATCTAATCTAGGCCCTCTGCAAAGCGTCCCTTAATGAACGACCCCCGCCTCTGCTCTGCTGGCGGTGCACTAAGGATGCCGGGATTATTTTTCCTGTATTTTCCCCAGTGTAAAAAGTGGAAAAGGTGGGAAAAAACCAGTCCTGCTCTTCCCAGGATTAGGTGAAATGAAAATGTGTTCTCACCCACTCCCCAAACCGCCCTGCTCAGAGCCCACCACGGGGCTGCCTCCTCCTAAATTTTAAAAATTCAGTGCAGAAGCTGCAAAACTGGGCGGGAAAGTGCAATAAACCTGAGTTTTCTTTTCTTTTCTTTTCTTTTCTTTTCTTTTCTTTTCTTTTCTTTTCTTTTCTTTTCTTTTCTTTTCTTTTCTTTTCTTTTCTTTTCTTTTCTTTTCTTTTCTTTTCTTTTCTTTTCTTTTCTTTTCTTTTCTTTTCTTTTCTTTTCTTTTCTTTTCTTTTCTTTTCTTTTCTTTTCTTTTCTTTTCTTTTCTTTTCTTTTCTTTTCTTTTCTTTTCTTTTCTTTTCTTTTCTTTTCTTTTCTTTTCTTTTCTTTTCTTTTCTTTTCTTTTCTTTTCTTCCACGGCCGGCGACCCCCAGGCGCAGCTGGAGGCCGACAAGCGAGCCGTCTACAGGTGATGCGAGCTGATACCGGGGCGCCTTAATTAATTAGTGCCTTAAGAAACACATTGGTTCACTGCTGCATTGGTTATTTGAATGCATTATTAATGCATTCATGCAGCGATGCATTAATTAATGCGTTGCTTAATGCATTGATTTGTTGATGCGTTCGTTAGTAAAAGGCATTATTGATCCGCTGTTACTCAAATGCATTAATTAACACACCGGGATTAGCAATTAGCTCCGTTTTAGCAAGAATAACAACCGATAATGGCGCACGGGGGTGGAGCTCCTTCGGGGACCTGGTTTTGCAGATCCTCACGCCCCCAGAGAACCCAAATTAGCTGGGTTGGTTCTTTTTTTTGGCAAAACCGTGTGATTTTGGGCCTAAAAAGCACGCGGAAGGCACAAAGCTGCGTATGAACCTGAAGTGTGCAGTAGATGCACCCGCGCGGGGGGTGGGCGCGGGACGGAGGAGCCCCCCCAGCCCCCTTTTTTTTTGTCCCTTTGGAGATTGGAATAGATAATGTAATGGATGCCCTGGTGTTATGGTATAATTGTAATAAGTCACATTATAATTATGTAAATAGTGTAATTATATAAGTAATATATAATGATATAAGTGATATGTCATTATTTACAGTATTACAATGTATACAGTAACGATGCACAAGCAATGTATAATATTATAATTAGGAGTAAGGTTTAGGGTTGAGGATTAACCCCCTGTTAATGGCCAGGACTGGAGGGGTTTGTAAAGCAAACAAATGCAGCTCGGAAGTGAAGGAATTAAAATATTTTGACTGAAATATGCAAATATCACGAATGCGAAGAAGGCTTGGAATAAACCAAGGGTTCCTCGACGCCGCTCTCCTGGGTTTTTGCAGTGATGGAAAGAATTTTCCCAAGACAAAAGAAGTGATTCCAGAAGAACCACCCCTTCTCCTCGCTCTCCTCCGAGGATTTTTGCAGCGTTCATGGGATAACGAGAACCGAAAAACCCTTTGGCATTTTTACAGCCTTCAGTGGAGGGGCAAAAAAATGCCAGAAATTCTGTTTTTGGGGGTATTGCCCACCCAGAAAAGTGGGGAAAAAAACCTGCTGGGCGGTCCCAGGCATGGATGTGGTTGCCCAAACCTGGATGCTTATTTTTGGGTACCAGCCCAAATATATTTTTATCTCTGAAAAGATCTCTGAATATCTGAATATTCACCTACAGAGCGGTTAATCTGGGTTTTGTGCATGTCATTAGCCATCAAATGCACACGGGGGGGTGTGGAGCCTCTACCCTCCGCCGAAAACAACGGATTTTTGTTAATTTTCCATAACTGCACCAAGGCAGAAGGCATCAGCTGCAAGCGTCGGTCGATCAACCTGGAGGGAAATTGCCGGGAAAACGCGATGGGGAATATAAAAGGCGCTGGACAAGTCACCCCGTCGGGTTTTATGCTCCAGCGGGAGGTTTATCGCCCATTAAAAAAATAGGGAAAAAAGGAAAAAAACGAGTCCTCCCCCTCCCTGCTGGGCCTGGGAGCGTCTGTGCCGGGGCTGGTCCAGCAGCGTCGCTTCCCTGCTGCAATTTTTTTCCCAGCGAAAGTATTTTCTTCACTTTACGCAACAGCGGAGCTGGGACTTCCCGACGGATTTTGGACCGGTAAAGATGATGCTCCTGTGGGAACTGATGCCTAAACCACCCCAGCACTGCAAACTGGATTTTTCCAAGTGGGAAACATCTTTGTGTTCACTTTATTTCCTATTTTTTTGGGGGGAGGGAGGAAAGGTGCAAATCGGAGCTGGGGAAATAGAAAAAAGCACGTTGCGGTGCGCCCACGGTGCCGCCGGCAGGCAGGCGGAGCCCTCCGAAGGTGCGGAATTAGGCCATTAGAGGAATCCATTTCTCTTTATTAGCCCATGTCAAATCCTTTTTATTAGTGGCTGCGAACGACCTCTCTCCTGCAGGAAAATGTCAGGGCTGGTTCAGCCCGTTTATTTGGAGGATTCCCTGGTACAGCACCTGTTTCATAGCTCACTGTGAAGTTTTTATAAATACCTTACAGTCATTTTGTGAAATCATTCATTTCATGAGATGACTGAAAGTCATTCCTGGAATTATAGGCATTCTATTACACTATTTAACTGTTCCACTGAGTCATTATATGAAATGTCTAAAAGTGTCAGGCATTTCATGAAACGGCTGGTGTCAGTGCTTTAGTCGCTTTATGAAACTTAGCATTATGACATTCTGTTCACTACTGCTGTGAAAAATCAATTTTTTCCATGTGAAACAATGTCCTATCAAAGTCCCACTGATATAAATAAGCAGACATATTTGTCATATACTCCTCACAACCTCTCAGTTGCCGCAAGCCTTGGGCGGAGTGCCTTTCCTGACTTTGCTCAGGCAGACAGACCTCCTCCACTTTTTCACTTATATTCCTGGGTGGTTATTCCTCAGTGTTTGTCACTTTAGAGAGTGAAGGAAAACCATGGGGTTTTATTTTACTTTATTTTATTTTATTTTATTTATTTTATGTTATTCTATTATTTATTTTACTTTATTTTATTTTATTCCTGACCAAAAAGCAAACCATCCTCCCCTCGGCCGCGTGCTGCCCCCTCCTCCTCCCTGCCAGCGCTCCCAGACATCCACAGGGGTCAGTGGCAGCTGTGGCCCAATTATTAATACCGAGCAACGCGGGGCGATGCCGGCAGCGGTCGTAATCCCCCCTTGGTCGGTGCAAGCCCTCAAAGCAGAGGGGCTACAAATTGCTCAGGGGCTGCAATCCCCCCTCCGAAAAAAAACCCAAACCCAACCCAACCCCATCCTTGGGGTAATTCCATGCTTTTGCTCCTAATTGATGGAGCGGCTCTGGAAATGGCAGGGGGCCCCTGCCGCTGAGCCCCCGGATCGTAAGTCCCAATAACTCAGCTCGCCGCCTGGAATTTGCCTTTCATATCCCTGGGCTAAGCCCCGGCGGGGCTGCCGAAATTATGAAATTATTTCCCCCCCTCTCCGTTCTCTGCTCCAGCCTTGGCGAATCCTGCATTAAACCAGGATCAGGACAGATTAAACTATAATATGCTGCGGTATTAGCGGCTGCAAATGAAGACTTAGCTGAGGGGGTTAACCCCTTCGCCTGCCTCTGGGTCAGAAAAGACCCGGGGGGAGGGGGT